GGAAAACCTTGCCTTGTTTTCAGATACTTGTCAAGCTAAGGTCTAGAGGTCAGGTCCTGCTTGATAAGAGAGCATGTATCATAAGGACCATCTTGTCCTCTGATTGATCGTTTGTTCAGGGAGACCGTGCTTTGAGAATGATCTCCCTGTTCCCTTACTTGTTACAAGTAATAAAACTGCTGTGCTTAAATCGGCAAGACTCTAAGTTATTCTTAACTAGAGAAGAAGCAGCAAACCCCTCGAGTTTGGTAACACTATTGGTAACATCAGAAGAATATAGCCACGCTACCCCAGGAGTCCAATGGAAAAATTTTATTTGATGCAGCTAGATGGATGTTGTCTTTGACTTAGAGTGATTATCAGCAGTGAGTTCTATTGTAAAAATAATGTGTCTACATTGTGACTACTTGGTAGAGAGTCTGAAGTGAGGTGGCAGCTAGAAACTTATAGAAATAATACAGGTGAGACTAATGTTCTCTAGAATTGAAGGGTTATGGTCAGAATGACATAGAAGACAGGGAAGAAACTTTTTTGTTAACAAATCCGGACTAGATGAATCACCCGTTGGGGGATACACAACAAGAATGAGTCAAAGGCAAATGTTAGGCACTGAAACCAGGTGCTAGTGAGAAGTGGATGTCTTTAACTGAGATGCAGATTTGGTGTAGGTTAGCATTAATTTTATTCTGGAATCATTTTAGAATTATGCACACACACATGATAATTGCAAATACTCCAGGATATTGCAAGCCAGAGCTGGAATCTCTGCTCAAAGTCAATGTTCCCAAATGGGAAACTCAGGAATCATTATGGATCACTCCCTCCCCCTGGTCCTATCCCAGCATCTCCTACCTTCCAGCAAGCAACAAATCTTCCAACTCCTAAATTCTTCTCGATATGTTCTCCTTCTCTCCCTGCCCACTGAAGCCCTTCTTGTGCCATTTTATTTCCATTGTTCTGCATAATCTATCTCTTTTATCTTCACCTGGAGGTTTATTTTCAACCAACAATGATTTTACAGCACAAATCATATTATAGGGTGAAAGGAACTGAGAAGAAACGATCAGTAATGAAATGTATTTGATTTGTGTGGTTATTCCCAGAACATACAGTATTTTCTTTAACCTCTATAAATTGTTCTGGTAACTCTTTTTTTTTTTCCTTAAGAAGGGAGTGTGCATTAATCACATTTTCAAAGCTAACTGAGGCTCAGAAAAGGTAAATAAATTAATTACTTAATGGCACATAATGAAAATCTGAGGACTTGGGATTCACCAGGCTGTTTTTGTTTCAAGGCATTGTCTTGAGTCACCTATATATTTAAACAAAAGTCCGGATTATTCTCATAACATGCATTTAGTATTTTCCATTTCCATTCTTCACTTTGCTATTCATGCTGAATGGCTCGTGCCATTCTACAAAATGCTGTGATGTTTCATGCATATGTTGTGCCCTGGGTATGGATTATAGGGGTGGAGGTGGTGGCAGTGTGCTGTGAAGTCGGTTCTGACTTACAGCGACCTTGTATAGGGTTTCTGAGGCTATAAATCTTTACTGGAGCAGAAAGCCACAGCTTTCTCCTGTGAAATAGCTGGTAGTTTCGAATTGCTGACCTTGATGTTAGCAGTGTAACTTGTAGTCATTATACTACCAGAGCTCCTTGTGGATTAGAGTAGGGGTTTAACAGATGCTTACTGCATGAAATATTGCATATTGTTTTGTGCCCTGGGCTCTTTTCTTTCTCATTTCTTACATACTGAACTAGCCCAATCTGCTTTGCAAATTTTCAATCTTATTTATCACCTCCTCTTTCTGATCTGTCTCTAATCTGAAGAGATTTGGTCTCTTAGGGTGAGCCTGACTCAAGTCATGGCCCTTTCAGTCACCTCATATGCATATGAAAGCTGGAGTAGCGGAAAAGGAAGACAAAAGATAAGCTAATACACTCAAATTGTGGTGTTGGTGAAGAATATTAAACATATTCTGCCAGAAGAAGACACAGTGTCTAAACAAAAATATAGCCAGCATGCTCCCTAGAAACGAGAATGGTGAGAATTCAGTTCTGCTTACTTTGGGCACATCATTGGAAAAGGCCATTTGCTAGAAAAGGATGTCCTATTTGGTAAAGCACAGGATCAGTAAGATGAGGGGAAATTTCCACAAAACAGATTGATGCAAAATGTTCAACAATGAACTCAAATGCACCAATAATCATGAAAATGGTACGGACCCACTTCATTTTCTTATTCATAAGCCAACTAACTCTACGGCAACTAACAACAACAAAAGTTCTTTGTATGTATCTTATCCCAACAGATGGTGCTCTATTTAAGTAAATGATCTGTATCTTTTTCATATATGTATTTCCAGCTTCAAACATAGTATCTGGATTCTATTGTCGTTAAGTGCTGTCTAATTAATCCATTCTAGCTCATAGCAGTCCAGCATAAGATTGCCAAGGAGCCACAGGTGGGTCTGAATCACAGACTTTGCAGTTAGCTTATCCTACAGCACCACACCAGTACTCACAAAGAATGACAGAGAAATGGCATTTGAGGGGATAACGTAGCCTCAAACCAGGTTACAACTCTTACAGGAGAGAGGGTTGTGTACCTGAGCTTCTCTGCATCATCAGTTCTTGATACAGTGTTTGGCACTGGTTAGGCATAATCTTCATGATTGTGAATGAATGCAAACTTTATGTTTAACTATTAGCTGATTAAGGTGTTATTGTCACATGCTTTTTTATAAGGTCCTTTTCCTAGATGTGTGCTCACTCACAGCATTATGGAATGCTCTGAATATGTTCAGTAGGGGGGTCTTGAGACAACCATGGGGAATGCAGAGTTCAACTCATCATTTATCACATGTTCTCAGATTGGGAAGTGATTGTGAGACTTAGGATTTGGATCATCATGTTTACTGGCAGTAAATAAGAAGAAGGCAACAGTCACAGGAAGATGGGCAAGGAGCCTGCTGAGGTGCAAGTGAAGACGTTTTAAATTCATGTAGCTGAAATGCAGTTACATCTTACACTGTTGTTATGAGCCATCTGGTAGGTTCTGACTTGTAGCAACCCTGCATAGGGTTTCCGAGGCTGTAAATCTTTATGGGGGGCAGGAAAGCCCCACCTTTAAACCATGGATTTGAACTGCTCACCTTGCAGTTAGCAGTCCAGTGAGTAGTAACCCACTATACCACCAGGGAACCTTACGGTTTATACTTTGTTGTTGCTATTTTTGTGTGCCGTTGAGTCTGTTCAGACAAATAGCGACCCTATATAGGGTTTTTGAGAGGAGCTGGTGGATTTGAACTGCTGACCTTGCAATTAGCAGTGCAGTGCTTATCCTACAGTGCCACATCAGGGTTGGTGCTTTAAAATTATGACTATTTGTCTGCTTTTTGATTTGCCTGTGATAATTTTCTTATGATATGTAAGGAAGGTGTTTTGTTTTTAATGTTATCAAGTCTCAATTATGTTAAGGGAAATTAAAAAAAAAATTGGTTTTGGTTCAGTCTGAGACCCAGTTTTCATGATGCTTTAGGGTATCTCTGAAAGAAAGAGATGCACCTAAGTGTCCAACGGACAATGGGGAATCAGAGGGACTGATACTAAGGGAAAAAACCCACACACACAAAAAAGCAAACCAAAATAAAACATAAAACAGAGTCACCACTTCCTAACAGGAGATTCTAAAGGGCAGGGTGTATTTGAAATGTTCAGTAAAATATATGCTACATGAAATGTGTTGAGGTATTTGGAAGATGTTGGTAGCTGAAAGGGTTCAAATAAATTTTTGCTTACTTGTTATTAAGTACTTAACAGAACCTAAGGAAGAAAAGTTAAGTGTGAGAAGCAATTGCCAATTCAAATGTAATCAAAATGGATAGAAAGTCTTTCTTAAATTATAATATCTTGATGCAAAAATTTATGTTTTATTAATTTATAGTTTACATATTATTTTCACATGGGTAAAATGCGTCATGCCCATATCTATAATGGACCAATTAATTCTAAAGCCAGACTAAAATATACTTCCAACAACTAAAAGCTATAAACACATTCCAAAAAACTTTTGTAAGATGAGTGTAGATGGTGTGCTGACGATATTAGAAGTCACTGTGTATGCTCTACCTCACTGAGGAGGATTTTATTGGAGATGGTATTAATCTTGGAAATCATCCATAAATGTTTGATTAGGAAGAGGAAGGGTCGTCCTACCCATGATTTCTACCTGTCAGAGTGCTGTTCACAGAGACTCACAGAGAGTCTGTGGAGAGACACTATGGTATTTTCCAGATGCCTTAGATGCTACAGGATGCAAACTGCTCTTCGTGGAGGTGGTTGTGTGCTACAGAGTCAGTTCCAACTCAAAGTGACTCTGCATAAAGTTTCCCAGATTGGAAATCTTAATGGGAATAAAAAGACTCATCTTTCTCCTGAGGAGCAACCAATAAATTTGAACTGCTGACCTTGCAGTTAGCAGTATAGCTTGTAATTCATGATACTACCAGGATTCCTCTGGTGGAGGTTATGTGCTGTGAAGTTGACCCCGACTCATGGAGACCCTGCATAGGGTTTCTGAGACTGTAACTCTTTACAGGAGCAGAAAGCCTCAGCTTTCTCCAAAGGAACAGCTGGTAGTTTTGCACTACTGATCGTGAGATTAGCAGCCCAAATCGTAACCACTACACTATCAGAGCTCCTTCTTTTAGGGAGTTTAAAATATTTCCAAACAATCATAAGGACTAGCCACAGAGGAATGAGGATATTAAGCCCTGTTCCATTTTGCAAGAAAATATTTGATATACTTTGAGTGTAGAATTTATATTTCCTCCCAACCCTCCACCCCTCCTGACTTTAGGCAAAGTAAACAGGAGAGGATGAAGAACGAATGACTTAAAGATAGGCCACATTTTGACAAATCCAGTGATTCATGCTTGTGCTTTCTTACAGGTTACTTTAAAACTCAATTATATCTAAATAAATGTGTACTTACCAGAAATACTGCTATAGATATCCCAACCAGAAATCCTGCTATCACATCTGACCAATGATTTCGATATTCTGCTACTCTGTTGAGTCCAGTAAGAAAGGCCAAACACATTAAGCCCAAACACAGAACTGGCTTAGCAAGTCTTGTTCCTTTGGTTTTGATTGTGTTGGTAATATACATCTGAAATATTAAATGAAAAACAAGACTTTTCATGAAGGTATTTCCTTGATATACACACATAACATATTAATCTTATAACATGCAAGGCATCCACTATTTTCCTTTTCCATTCTCCATATTTGCCACTCATGCTGAATGACTGATTTATTCCAGGAATGTTACGATGTTTCGTGTATACATTGTGCCTTGGGTATTGATTAGAGTAGAGGCTTAATAAATACACATAAGAATGTATGTGTATGGTTCAAATCATTAAAACTATAGTTTATAATGTTTAAAAAGCAGGTTTTAAAAAGCAAAATTTAAGGGTAGAAATAATTAAGTTTTACTTACCGACTATGGCCATTTCCCATAAATGTCTAAGTCTTATGTAACATGATAAATCAACTTTATAAGCACTTAGTACAAATAGACTAAGTTACAAATATTTTTATTTGTATGTATTCCCCTTTGATGAGTTCTCTTGTGGTGCTGTAACATAAACAATGGACTTCTAAGCACAAAGTTGGCAGTTCAAACCCACCAAAAGCTCCTTGGAAACCCTTTATCAGGTCCCTATGAATTGGAACTGAGTCTACAGTGCTTAAGAACAATAAATCCCTTTCTAATGACTTATTTATTTTGTTGTTGTTGAAAATGCACGCAGCAGAACATATACCAGTTTGATAAATTATACATGTACAATTCAGTGATACTGATTACATTCTAAAAGTTATGCCACATTCTCACCCTCCTTTCTCAAACTGTTCACTCTGCTCCTCCGCATTAATGTAAATAAACTCTCTGCCCTCTACGTTTTCTAACTAACCATTCAAATTGTTGTTGTCAATTTGATTCCATATAGATATTTCCTTAAAACAGCCCAATTCTCATTCTAGACTTTCTATAATAGTTAAACTAGTGTTTGATTTTAATTTAAAAAGCTGTTGTAGCAGTACATTGAAAGGGAGCTGCAAGAAATTGAAGCTGGATTCAGAAGAGGATATAGAAAGAGAGCTATCACTGCTGATGTCATATGCATCAATCTTGGCTAAAAGTAGAGAATACTAGAAATATTTTAACTGGTGCTTTATTGATTATGCAAAGGTATTTTAACTATATATCTTTAAAAAAATATGGATAAAAATGTGAAGAATGGGTATTCCATAATACTTAAATTGTGCTCATGAGGAACTTGTACACAGACCACCAAGAGTAGCTGTTTGAACACAGCAAGGGGATACTGAATGGTTTAAAGTCAGGGAAGGTGTGTGTCAGAGTTGTATCCTTTCACCATGCATATTCCATCTGTATGCTGAGCAAATATTTCAAGAAACTGTATTATATGAAGAAAATGTGCCATCAGGATTGCAGGTAGACTCATTAAAAACCTACAATATGCAGCTAACACAACCTTGCTTGCTAGAAGCAAAGAGGACTTGAAGTATTTACTGATGAAGTTCAAAAAAACACAGCCTTCAGCATGGATTGCATCTCAATGTAAAGAAATAAAAAATCCCTACAACTGGTCCAGTAAATAACATGATTGTTGTTGTTGTTGTTGTGTGCCGTGGAGTCGGTTCCGACTCATAGCGACCCTGTGCAGGGTTTCCGAGGCTGTAAATCTTTACAGGAGCAGAATGCCTCATCTTTCCCCTGCGGAACAGCTGGTAGTTTCGAACTGCTGACCTTGATAAAAGGAGAAAATACTGAGAGTTGTCAAATGCATGAGTAAGTTGAACAATGAATAAAGAAGACTGTAGAATAACTGATTAATTAAAATTATCATTTCACAAAGAATATTAAAAGTACCATGGACTGCCAAAAGAACAAACAAATCTGTCTTGGAAGAAGTGCAGCCAGTATGTTCCTTAGAAGCAAAAATGGTGACATTTCATCTCTTGTATTTTGGACAGGTTGTTAATTCTTTTTCCTTTGTTGCTCCAAGTGAACAGAGCCCAATTGTACTTTGCTGTCCATTAGTAAGCTCTGAAAAATCCAGATACTACACAATGAACTTGGAATTAGAAAGAACTAACATTATTAAGTTAATTAACTCAGATGTCTTATGAAACCTAGATCCTAAACTTCCATACCAAGAAACTAAATCTTATTAGGCATTTAGTTATACATAAGTAGCCTTCACTGGACTGTGAACCACAAGGTCGGCAATTTAAACTCATCAACTGCTTTTTGGTTGCTATCAGTCAGAACCAACTTGACAGCATTTAACAGCAACAAGTAGTCAACTTCCACAGTTGCTTTACCATTTTTAACTGAATTTACAGTCTAATTCAATCTTGATAATGTTTATAGGAAGGGAAACTGGATGATGGCATTTTTAATATTTATATTTCTATATGCCATACTGAGACAATGAGCACTTGATAAGTGATGGTGTGTGGTACTGCAGGATAAACACTCAACTGCAAGATTGGTTTGAACTGCAAGGTTGGTGATTCAAAATCACCAGTCACTTCTCGGACACCCTATACAGGGTCACTACGATTTGGAACTGACTTGAAGGCACTTAACAACAACAAGACACTTGATAAAGTCAGAACTTCTTAACATATCTAAAAAATAAAATGGATACAGTTCTACTAAATAAATGCTACTTTGCTTTTATGCTGTTATCTGAAATTGTAAAATTACTTTGTTTTATGCTACAAGTAAGGCTGCTAACTTCAGGGTCAGCAGTTTGAAACTACTAGCCATTCTATGGGAGAAAGATTTGCAGTCTAAGAACCCCTATGCATGCAAGGTCACTGTGTGTTGGAATTGACTCCATGGCACACCACCACCACTCTGTAAATTTTATCAGACAAAACAACAAAAAATCAGCATTAAAAAGGGTAAATGTGTCAGCTCAAAACAAAACCACAATGAACACATATCTATATTTTTGGTATCACTACCTATTTAAAAAAACAGTGTCGGAAGAAAGAAGAGGAAATAAAATGTATTACAATTTGATGGACTTGACCTATGCTTATGGATGCAGTAGCTCAAAAGTGGAAACGAATGTTTACAGCAACGATCATTACCACTCCCTTGGTACACAGGGTTAACAGGGATAGGCAACTTAGACATTGGCTACCCAAAATGGGGGTGCGGGGGGGCGCTACAAAGGCATGAAGTGACTGCCTTACAAACTTTCAAGAGGGAGTCTAGTTTCAGAGGGTTCAGGGGAAGGTAGAATTTCCACTGAGTGGTTTTCAACTGATCTAGATGGGGCTGGTGAAAGGAGATGAGGACAAGGCTCTTGTGGTTCAGTAGTGAATAATTGCTATCAGAACTGATTGTGAATGTTGCAAATGTTAAGGTAGACATTTTGTAACCAAAGGAGGGGAGTGGTTGATCTTGCAGTCCAGGAGAGGAGGACCCTGGGACCATCAACGGAGAAGAATGGAGTTCGGTCCCTATCCAGAGAAGCAGTGATGCCAGAGATGGAGGCAAAGACCATGACTTGGAAAGATGGAGTGGCTGGGGACCCTGTACTGAGAAAGGGAGAGAGGCTGTATGCTGGCGGTCAGCGGGCAGGCTTGCAGGGTATGCCCTTTGGTTGTTTGAATGGTTATATATTCCTGAGTGCTTTGGTGTACATCAAAAAACAAAAACAAAAAAAATCCCAGAGGGAATGAAAGCAAATGCTGTTGAGTGATGATGCATGGAGGGGATTGTAATCATTGCAATAAAACAAAATACAATAGAATGAATGAATGTAAAGCTGATGCTCTCCCATGTAAACTATCACTCAATTCACAATAAAAAATAAAAATAAAAAGGTATTTATCTTTAATTATGTTACTTACAGTATTCTGGAGTTAGTTTTTTAGAATTTATTTTATAAAAGCAAAACATAGTGTCCATTGATTACAATCCAGTATGATATATCTGGAAATTGTGAGCTGCTCAACAATGACTTGGTCTATCTTCCAGTCTGATTTGTTATATCACTCCATCATTATAATTTATAATGTGTGCTGCCATACCAAGAGCTCTGGTGGTACAGTGGCTAAGCGCTCAGCTGCTAACCAAAAGGTCAGTGGTTCAGATGCATCAGCAGCTCCATGGGAGAAAGATGTGAGTTTGCTTCTATGAAGATTACAGTTTTAGAAACCCTATGGGAATAGTTTTACTCTGTCTAATAGATTTGCTGTGAGCTGGAATCAACTCAACGGCAATGGGTTTGGCTGTTTGGTTTTTGATTACTATACAAGTAAATTTGTTGAGTACAAGTGGCATGTGTGAGTTGTTACTTTAAACAGCAGAGTGACTATAAAAAATATCTTTTTGACAGCACAATTAAGAAACTGATTTTATATGATTAATGGAGTCCTGGTGTGACTCTGTGGGTTAATGCACTGGACTGCAAGGTCGGTTTGAACTGTAAGGTTGGCAGTTCAAGCTCATGAGCTGCTCCTCGGAAACCCTATACAAGTTGCTATCGGTAGGAACTGATTTGACAACACTTAACAAAACAAAAACCAAGCTATGAATCAAAATCTTAAATTCTGGTTTTGCTTCATGCTTAGGCAAATAAGTGTTTTGCTTTGAATTCAGTTCAGAAGAAAGTATTTATATGCATTTCTGAGATTTTTCTAAAGACATTTTCAGTATTAGATCCATAACTGACATTATTGTTGTTGTTAAGTGCCATCTAGTCAACACTGCAGTCCAATGCATTAACCCGCAGCACCCTACCAGGACTCCATAGTTCTTAAGAGCCATTTAAAAATGCAATGCAATTCAGTGATTATCTTCTCCATACTTGTGTGTGTGTGTGTTTTCTGGGCAAAGATTGTAACCTTGTTAGCTGACAGAAAGGACAGTATGAATATTTAAATACCCCATGTAATAAGAAGCTTCTTTCTAGCCAAGTAATAGCTCATTGCAATCTATCTCAGATCCCAATAGTCAGAAAAAGAAAAAAAAAAAGTTGTTTCCATCTTAACCCGTAGCCTTCAGAATGCTTGTACATTCTACATCTATATTCAGGAGAGCTTAATGATTTCAGT